TGGCTGGAGCATTTTCTTGGTGAAGGGAAATTTCCCAAAGGAGTGCCCCATCACATTCTCCGAAGCCTCCAATGGGTATGGGCAGTGGTTGTCACCTGAAGAAGCCGAGAGGATTACCAAGTCTTGCAACTTGGCTTTCCAGATCAAGTCCAAGGACGCATCCTTCTGATCCCTATCTGCACAACCAGAAATATTGTCAAACGATGAAGACGAGGATTTAAAAGCTGTAATAGCTGCCCGCTTGATCAACTCAACTCAGGAAATCAAAACAGAGGCAAGTATCATGGAAAATGAAAATAAAAACAGCAACGAAGAAAAGGCATGACAGGAAGCATCTTTCAAGTTAATTAGCAGTCTGTGGTTCCATTATAGTTGGTTGCTTCCAGGCTTTAATCTTGATATTGTTAAACAAATATATCCTGTTTAGTTTTATACAGTAAACAAATGCGATATTTTACCCTCACCCAAATAATTTCTTTCAATAATGTATTGTTGGGTACTCTCTCTTTGGGATGTTTGCTGTTGAAAGCCTTGACAGTTGCTCTTTGTTCAATTTTTTCTGGAAGGCATTCTCAATTTTCAACTAATACATAGAAAATAGCTTTAACAATATAGTTAAAAGTCAAAATTTTAGTAGATTTTGATGAAAGTTGAAAATTTTGGAGTTAAAAATTGATAAAAGTTGTGGATCATCTTATATACATATTTGAATTGAGGATTAAAGTTTTACTTTAATGGTAAACTTTTCGAAAGACACATCTAGTCGTCCAAAGAATTGTCGAGAGTAGACAATTATTCGAAATTCAAAATTTTAGATCGTCCAAATTTTATTTATTTAGGGTATAAGTGATTATCCGTTTATGTGAAATGAGGTCATCGACTACGACACTTTAGAACTCGAGTCATTCAAATCATGACATATTGATGTTCGAGTTGGTAAGAGAAACAAAGTGAATATATTTTCTATGCGATAATGAGGTGTTACATTTTGAATGATTCGATGTTCGTAATTTGAATGGTGATTATAGAATTGTTGAAGAAAGAAATGAGACAACTAAACGAATGGAATGCCTGTCTCTCCAATCATCAAACAACGTCCTCGTACCCTACCCCCACTCCCCAGAGGCGTACGCAGAGTTCTAAAGTTGGGGGCACAATCGAACTTGTAAAGAAGTTGAAAGAAATTTTACAATTGAAAAATTACATTCAAAAAAATGATACCCAGTGTAATTTTGCATCCAAAAATTTATATGGGATATAATTTTTTCGGATGTAAAATTTCGAAAATTTTTTATGTTATTTTCCATATAAAATTTCCTAATAAAATGATGAAAATTACATTAAGAAATTTGTATCGTAAAAATAACAAATGTTAATGAAATAATTANTTTTCTAATAAAATGATGTAAATTACATCGAGAAATTTATATCACAAAAATAATAAATATTAATGAAATAATTGATTTTTTTTTTAAAAAAAAATGTGAGTTAGACGTCATTCTTTGAGACTCGCATTTAACATATTTTTAACTATTTTCGATATCTATTTGGACTATTCGATATGTCCATAATGTAGTTCTCGAAATAAGTTTTGAGATGACATAAGCAATTTGTAGATTCGATTAGCGTACGATCGTCGGAGAATTTTTAAAATTAGTACGTTATCGAAATTTAAATTTATTGTGATTTTTCTCCTGTTTGGTGGAGATTAAAATCAAATTTTTAGTAAATTTTGATAAAAGTTAAATATTTATAGATTTCATGAAATATGTTATTAAAATTAGTTGTTAACTTTAATTTAGATTAAAATTTATATTTCAATCGATATAAAATATGACTTCAAAAAAAAAAAATTCTCAAAAGTTGGTGGTGGCACGTGCCCCCAGGACCCCCTCGGTCCGCCAGTGCCACTCCCCACCGTACCCCAAGTAGGACCCACTTGCAACTTTCTTAAGAAAACTTTCTATTGATTTGAAAAAGAAAACCAGCTAGAAAAGTATTCTCATGCTTTAAGGCTGGAACTTGAGAACTATTAACCAAACTTGTCAACATACATCCACTTAACTGTATATATGCACCCACACGAACAGAGAAATAAATCATTACGAGGCCAAGTAAAATGGCAAATTCAATGCTTTAAACAGTTCTTTTTTTTTTTTTAATAGAGGTAAATGTAATCAAATCAATAGTGGGTGGGAGTTCTATCTGTCATTGAATTCTTGAAAATGGGCTCATCAGATCGGTTGTTTAACAGGCAGAGAACTATTCATCAGATCCTTGGAGGGGGCCTTGGTAAGTCTGCACTTCTCTGATGCTTTTTCACAAACAATTTCGAATCATTGAATTTGAATATTTGCAATTCTACGTTCTGATCATTATTTTTTGATTGAGTGGAAAAATATTTTTGATGTCATAACTTCACATTATGGGGTTTGGTATTTATGGAAATGAGAAGTCGAATATGTGTGTGTTGTGCTGGTACAATTGCAGATGTGATGCTATGGAGGCAAAGGAATTTAACAGTGGGAATATTGGTGGTAGCTTTGGCTGCTTGGGTGGTTTTTGAGAGATCTGGTTATACTCTATTATCATTGACCTCAAGTGTTTATTTGCTCCTGTTTACCATTCTTTTTCTTTGGGCAAAGTCAGCAGCTATTTTAAACTGGTGATGCACTTTTTCCACAAATCTTCATAGCTATTCAAATATGTTTTTATCATGGATTAGAATTTGTAGTATTTGAGCAATATTGAGATGATGAATTGGACTAATGTGTTGATTTAGTGTTGCCTACTTAAAAAACATAGAATGGGGAGTCTAGACTTGATTTAGTGTCACCCCCCGTGGCAATCTAAACACACCAATCAGTGCTCTCTGTGCAAGTTTCTTTTTTCACTTTGAAACAAGAAAATGTTAGCCTTGAACGAACTTATGTGTATCATTTGATCTAACTTTTTAAGGCTTAATTGGCTTCACCTTCATCTTAATTTTGCAAATGCATGAATTACATAGAAAACATGCAATGTCAGCATGAAATTCACGTTCAAACATATAATTTTGTTTTTTTATTGGAAACTATAAAAGGATAAACGGTCATGATATGTTTAGTAGTTTGTATTAGATAGGACACAACAGTTACGACAATTGACAAATTTTGTATCATGCGTCTCTCTTCTTTGATACGAAGTAGGCGTAAATGTGCAGTCCCATTTTCTGAACAAGCCACCATGTTTGCTGAGGCGGACAATAATGGTTAGTTNTCTCCGAAGCCTCCAATGGTTATGGATAGTGGTTGTCACCTGAAGACGCCGAGAGGATTACCAAGTCTTGCAACTCGGCTTCGAGATCAAGTCCAGGGATGCATCCTTCTGATCCCTATCTGTAGCATGGACAACCAGAAATATTGTCAGACAATGAAGACGAGGATTTAAAAGCTGCAATAGCTGCCAGCTTGATCAACTCATCGCAGGAAATCAAAACAGAGGCAAGTATCACAGAAAATGAAAATAAAAACAGCAACGAAGAAAAGGCATGACAAGAAACATCTTTCAAGTTAATCAGCAGCCTGCCGTTCCATTATAGTTGTGTGCTTCCAGTCTTTAATCTTGATATTGTTAAACAAATATATCCTGTTTAGCTTTATACAGTAAAAAATAATATGAAAAATGTAAGTCAAATGCGATATTTTACCCTCATCCAAATAATTTCTTTCAATTATGTATTGTTGGGTACTCTTTATCTTTGGGATGCATGCTGTTGAAAGCCTTGACAGCTGCTCTTTGTTCAATTTTTTTTCTTTGTTCAATTTTTTCTGGAAGGCATTCTCAATTTCAACTAATACATAGAAAGAGTTTTAGCGATATAGATAAAAGTCAGATTTTTAATAGATTTTGATAAAAAATAAAAAATTTATAGTTAAAAATTGATAAAAGTTGTGGATCTTCTTATATACATATTTAAATTAAGGATTAAAGTTTTACTTTAATGGTTAAACTTTTCGAAATACATATCTAGTCGTCCAAAGAATTGTCAAGAGTAGACAATTATTTGAAATTCAAAATTTCAGATCGTTCAAATGTTATTTAGGGAGTGATCATCCGTTTATGCGAAATAAGGTCATTGGCCATGAGAAAAGCTTCAATTGGACATTCATACGTGCACACATTATAGAACCGTTTACTTAAATTACGACACTGTAGAACTCGAGTCATTCAAATCATGACACCTTGACGTTCGAGTTGGCAAGAGAAACAAAGTGAATATTTCTACGCGATAATGAGGTGTTACATTTTGAATGATTCGATGTTCGTATTTTGAATGACATAGATAAGATGCAATGTCAGCATGAGATTCACATTCAAACATATAATTTTGTTTTTTTATTGGAAACTATAAAAGGATAAACAGTCATGATATGTTTAGTAGTTTGTATTAGATATGATAGAACAGTTACGACAATTGGCAAATTTTGTATCACGCATCTCTCTTCTTTGATACTATGTAGGCGTAAATGTGCAGTCCCATTTTCTGAACAAGCCACCATGTTTACTGAGGCGGACAATAATGGTTAGTTTTAAATAAGAAGAAAACGGCTAAACTTTGTTCACTGTACCGTTCAGTACGTTCTGATACTGGGTGTACAAAGCATGCTCTTACTGCATCTTAGGTACAATAATTTCCTTTTTCATCTTCAGTTCATTTTAATGCTCAGTCAAATATGATCAACTCTGAAGTCAGATACTGTACGAATCATGTTGTTCAAACGTTTGTTTCATCTAAAAAATAACTATGCCATTAAGATAAATCCAGAACATTTCTATTCCAATGAAGTTGACTATGACGACAAATACCGGCACTTTAAAATGTTGTTCATGTTTAATAATTCTGCAAATGATCTGTAACAGGCCCGCTCCACCTCTAAAACATTTATTTATCTCAGAAAAACTCATGAATGAAGCAGCTACTTTCATCCGCAATCATATAAATGTTCTGCTCCGTGTGTCTGAGGATATCACACTTGATAGGGACTCGAGAATGTTCGTGAAAGTAGCTATAAGTCTGTTGCTGATCTCTGTCATTGGGAGCCTCACCGATTTCCTCACATTGATCTACACTGGTAAGTTCATTTGTTCGTTTTCTTGTAATTCCCATTTACAATTATGAAGGTATCCCCTTCTCATCAGGCTTACCCAACTCACGTTTCCTCATCTTGCTTAACTCTGTAATTGTCAGGCCTTGTTATTCTTCTTACAGTTTCCGCACTTTATGAAAGGTATGAAGACCATATTGATAGATATGCTCTAACGAGATACTAGTCGCAGCATTTATACGTGAGATTTGATGCACAAGTTATCAGCAAGGTTCAAAAATGGATTTTGGAAAAGAAGAAATTAAGTTGATTTTTGATAATATGTTTTCTTCAATTTTACATTTCCTTTTGTTGGGTCTTTTCTTCTCCCTTGAATTTGCTGTTTCTGTTGGGCATTTAACAGTGCTAGCTTTAAGATCATAAACATGCAATGACTTTAGTTCTTTGTGTACATGTGTTGTTTGTCTCAACTCTAAGCCGAGCTTTTTTCGATAATGTTAATTAGGGTTATGTAAATCACCATTCTTGAATTGTAAATCCCATCACGACGGAGGAAAAGTTTTGTGTAAATCAAAATAAAGAAATGAAAACCTTGTCTAAAACAAAATTCATTTTAGCATCATCTACGACATTAAGAAAACATGCAAGATACTATAATGGTCAAACATAACCTACAATTTCAACATCATCCATGCGAATATCAGCAATCTGCCAGGGGAAGAACAAAATTAAAAGTGCATTCACTAATCTTGGCCACTTCCAAAGCTATCACATTTCTCGTGCTGCCACCCAAAGCCCGGTGAACCATCATGGCTAGCGTCACCAGAGTACAACCTGCCTCTTTGAAGCTGTGATAAGTGGGTTGAAGGTGTAGGTGGCGATGGCGACGGTGGTGGAAGGGACACGGATTGAGGGGCCATCATTATCTTGCCGTCCACAAAATTCCCACCCTGCCCACGTTGCTTCCCTTTTTTGGCTGAATGTTTGGAGGTAAAACCCCCAAACTCCGACCACAATCACCTTGACCTACGAGAGGAGGTTCAAAAGGCTCAGCAGCAGGCTCCAAATTCCATGGCCGAGGATAATTTCCTGCAAAATTCATGGCTCCAGCAGGATCCTGCCGGAAACCTGGCAACAAACCTTGTTTGGAAGTTGAATCTGGCCTTGGCATATTGTAGGGAACTCCATATAATTATTATATTCCAGTAGGAGCATAACAAAATCGAGGGGGAGTCAGAACTGGATTGATTGGCATTGCATAATCAGAAGGTTGTCGGGGATTCACAGGAAACGAATATTCAAGTATAAGTTTTGGTTCTTTGGAGAAAAAGTGACCTGGGTTTAGCTGCAGGCCACCGAGTGAGTCAAGAGCTTGCCAAGGAAACTGGTTCTGAAGGCAAGGTATGTCGAAGACTTTGGCTTAGTTAATATCATGTTGCAGTTTTTGTGTATGATTTAGGATCTTTCCAGGAAAAGGTGGCACAGGCATGATAGGCCTAGGAGGTGGTGGTAATTTCCTCAGATGAACTTTTCATCCTCAATTTGCATCTTACCGTTTAAATTCAATTATTTTACAGATTTAAGTTACTTATAATTTTAAAATACCATTTCTTCCACCAAAAAATATACATAGGAAATAAAGTTTCTTTGATAATTAAATTCTGGAGAAATGAGCTTAAACATACATTGACACGTGCGGAAAAGTTAAAAAATATCGCTCCAACATCAGATAATTCTTTCAAAAACTGAATGAATTCTCTAAACCAGAGGACAAAAAAAAAAAAAAAAAGAGTACCAAAAGCAATCCTATACTCTATTCTTGTGTTCACTGAAAAAACGGCAAAGTATCCCGATTTGCTCCAAAGCTATTTCCTAGCCACATCACTACAAAAGAAGATAAATACTATTACCACAGTATAATAAAGACTTCATATTATGATTTTAATAACGCAAGACAAAATATTTACGCTAAACAAATATAACAACGCAGAGACAATTGTTAAAATCAAATAACTATCTCATCTAAAAATCAGTTGGCTTAAAATGAGGTTAGACTAAATCTTTCAAGGCATTGAACCACGATCATATGAGACCAACAGATGGACTTAAGAGCAAACTTGTTTCTCACCAACAATATCTCCCGCAACATGATACTCCTGTGACTTGAATCCATACAACCCTTAATTTTAAAGTCACTTGTTAGATTAAAGTTTTAAGTATATCATCTAAAAACCAGCAGGTGTCCAATTGGGCAAGACTAAACCTTTTTGGGCATTCAACACCATCAATTGAGAAACCTAACCCATTAGCATAAGAACAGTCTTGTCACTCCCTAACAACAATAAAAAACAACAGGACACTTCGAATAATTCCCTGCGTATAGAGAATTAATCACGGAAATGATACAACTGCTGCATTGGCAGCACTTGTATGGTTCATTTTTGGTGTTTGTTGAGCCAAAAATCAATGAAAAATTGTCAAATGTCCTTCTGTATAAATTTTGTCAAACTTTTTTGGTACCAGTAGCATAACTAAGACAATTCCTCTTGTATAGGGGAATTGTTTACAGATCTTTTATAGGTACTATGCTGGTAGCACCTGTATGGTCTTAAGCCACAAGTATTCTAGTAAAATGGAATAAACGTGGCTAAAATACCTATCATTCCATATGAATTCAAGCATAAATCTCATAAAACTCCATAGAAAATATGTAAAATCACTAGTATTGTATATTTATTACTTAACTGGAGGAGTAGAATGGAGTGCAAACAGGTAGTGGACTAGGGTTCTTAGCAGGGAAAATGAAGAAATTGGGGATTTGTCTCAACTCACCTTTTCTGCAATAGGACTCTGTTTGCCAGCATTCACGTTTAATTAGCTCTTGTTTGATCCTCATTTTTTTCAAAAAACATTTTTCACTCTGTTGTTTTCAACCACACATTATTCAAGAAAATAATATTACACACATATTCAAAACTTTTTCTTATTTTTTAATCACACGTTCTCCATCAATCTACTATTCCAAAATGCATTTTATACAAAAAAATGGAGCTCAAACATGCTTTTTGAAGGAAAAATAGTGGGTTGACAAAATTACCCTTTTGATATGATCTAAATGCAATCCTCGTGTATATTTAACGAAGGAACGGACTGAATGGATAGAAAGGACCAACTTCGCAAAAAAAAGTTAGAAATAAGGTTGTAAATGTCAAATTTAAAACGATAGGGATGATTTGCACAATAAGTACAAACGATAGGGATATTTTGTGCTAATTACCCAAACAACAAGCCATATGATGTCATACCTTTTGTCCAACTTCTGATTTCCACTTGACTTGAAGCAATTATTTAAAGCTGATGATGAAGTTAAAAAAGCCTTCAACAAAGCAAGAGCCTGTTACAGGAAGCATGAATCATCAATTTCTCGTACAATGAGTATGAAGAGGAGAAAGAAATTGCTCTACAATCTCCCATACTACACAAAACAAAACTGACTCTAGAATTTACCTCAGTCTCGCGTATAGTTTCTTCCTTCTCTTCAATATCATTGAGAGATACATTTAGTTCTTTTAGGAAACTAAAACTCGACGGAGAAGGTAATGGTGTCACTATCAAGTTGTCTGACACTACAAACAAGTGTGGT